CCCTGTAAAGATCTGGCACCTTCCTCACTTCCAATTCTGCTGGTTCACTCTCCTGAGTCCGAGTAGTACAGGTCACCATTGACTTCACCTCTTCTGTTTGGCCCTGGTTTCTGTCAATTTTATCCAGGCCCCCACATCATTGGAAAAATCAGGTTCAAGGAAGGGGAGCAGACAAACAGAATGTCAAGGAAGGAATTTCAGAGGCTAAGGACACAAGGAAATGATGGAGGCACCTTTCCCTTTCTCAAAAAATAAGGAATCAATTGGAGCCTTGATTCCTTTCGCCTATGTTACCCTTTTGATACTGTAATGAGATGGAGTTTTTTCCACCACATGACAGTCTCTAGTTTAGTTTAGGAAGAGAAGCCAGGGCTTGCTGAAAGACTATTAAGAATGGTAATGAGATTTCGGTTTGACAGTAATGATGCCCAATTCCCACACTATTCAAGTTACTATAATGAATTCAAGTTTTCTGATTGAATCCCTGAGCCGTCTTGGAATGTCTTTTACTGCACCAGTAAAAGGTTAGTAACGAGCTCTGCATGATCCAAATTCTAGGATTAGTTTGGAGATAGCTGGAACGTTGTTCACATATTAAATATCTCAACCATAAACTCACAACTGCCAGAAAGTACATTTAAGTCAATTCCAAACAGAAAGTTTCGACCTTCAAAATCAGTCTCTGCTTCCCAATAGCATTGGTTAGGTTTGGGTAATATAAACTTGAAGATTAAACAGACTGTATCCTCTTCACCTGGATCTACAGAGTCAATACCCACTTGTTTCTTGTGTTAATAACTGGTCATCTTTATTGATGTCAAAACTGATATTTTCAACTGTTCTCCCAAGAAGTGGATGTTGGGTGGCTTCATGCTGACAATGCTGTTATTTAAATCAAAGCTGTGGCATCTATATGCATAAAACATTCAATTGCATTAAAAGTCAATTTCTAACTAAACATGCTTCCTGAGATAGAAAATCTCAACCTACATAAAGAAGGTTATTTGTTTTTTTAAAAAAAGATATCATCCAAGCCAGAAAACCAAGAGGTATTCTTTTGTTACATGGATGATGTGGTGTCTTTGCAGAGCCTCTACAGGTTGGGAAGGCTACAGAATTTTCTGTTTAATTTTAGTTTGGGAAAGGGGATGAAGGAAGGGCAGAGGCAAGAGCCACGAGGGGACTTCTCTTCTTTCATCAGTTCTTTGATGCTCTCTAGAGAGGTCACGGGCCATCCTAGACTCAGAGCTATGTCCCCAAACACAGAGTTAGGTGACAAACGAGGCTGGAAATACCAGGAATTAAAATTGCATGCAGGAGAAAGGAAAAAAGGGAGATACAAAAGCAACTCCTTTTCCTAACTCAAGTTGCTGATCCCCATCAATGTGCTTTGATGCTAGTCAGTTGTCCAGAAGTCTTTGTTTCACGTGCAACAACGGATCCCTCCCACAAAGCCCTCCTAGAATGGTTTGTTATAAGGCATGCCAACAAGAGCAGCACAGAGCGAGAGACTTCCGAAGCTAGAGTGTGTCCTATAAAAAAATCACGCCAGGCTTCTGTGCTCTAACCTCTGTTCTATATCCCCGGATCGTCCACACATTTTGTACCTGGTACTTTCCAGAACAACAGCAACAAGCACCACTGACTACTCCACTGAGCTCAGTGACTCTGCCCAAAGAACCATTTGAATTGTGTAAAACACAGTCAAGATGTTTATATTCTTCGTTCAACAGAATTTACAAACCCCCTTAAATGAGGGGCAGAGAGATGGCAATTTGACGATGCAAATCTCTGATTCTGGTATAAGGAAAAAATGCAAGAATGATCAACTCTGTGTGATGAAATTTAGCAAGCTGACACCTTCAATAAGTTCATATCCCTCCTAGGATAAAAATCACTGGCCAAAACCCATTTCACTACAGTTTTCCTTTCCCAAATGAAGAGGATGGGAAAAAGGTTGGGAAAGGGAAACTCACTCAAAAACAATTTCTATAATAGAACAAACAGAAATGTATTATATTTTTGAGAAGTTTTTGTTTTTTTGTTTTTTTTTTTTTTTGGTTTCACACCCGGTGTGGAGCCCAATGCGGGGCTTGAACTCACGACCCTGAGATCAAGAGTCAGATGCTCAACCGACTGAGCCACCCCGGCACCCCGGTTTTGTGTGTGTGTTTTTAATGAGAAATATCCATCACTAAATGTCTAAGTGATTTTGCTGGCATGTGGAAAGAAAGAGCAAGCCTCATTTTCTTCCCCTCCCAATATCTAAAAGGAGCCAATAAGGGAGACGAGCCTACAGCTAAGGAATGACCGTGTTTTCTGCCTCCTGCGAATGGACTGGAGCAGCCTTGGGTGGTGGCCACCCCTGACTGGCAATGGTACAAGGTCTGCTTGTGCCAATAATGCCAATCATTTGTGGTGATGTGTCCCCTGGAACTCAAAGTTTATTTGGTGAATTCAGCCCTATTTTGGACATGGTCGTTCTACTCTCTCCCACTGCATTTAGGGAGCCTGGATATCTGGAGTTCCGCTTCAAAACAAACCACGATTACCAATTATTTGTAACTGGGAAAGGAAGGAAAGGAATGGGAGCCTATGACACAAGTCACCTTCACTTAATTATGCCCCCTTTCTCACCCATGCAAACACACACACACACGGCGCACACCTTTTATATTCTAGACTTTTCTTTTCTGAAATTCCCTTTGAGAGTGGTTTGCTGCTCTCTGATTTCTCTGCCTCTTTTTTTCGGTAAGGCCCATAGAGGAGTTGATTCAATGGCACTGCGGGCTTGGTCTGGTTCATCCTCGCTCTCCTTGCAGCAAAGTCATCTTTCTCAAGATCAGGCCGCCGACACGCAACTTTCTCTTCTGACTCTGAATCTTTGCCCCGTTGGTGGGTCAGGAAAGGGTTTTCTTTGCGAAGGATAATGTCATGAACAGCTTCTTTCTCATTACTTAATTGCTTGTGACTGATGGAGCAAAATTAAAGAGAACTCTCCATGTGATCAGACCAAATATTCTTTTAAATCCCCATTTCCAGACACACACATTGTGTTGTTAGTGAAAGGTCTTCTCAAGTATCGTTAGTTTAGATGACATCTGTTTGCTATTTTAGTCCAGAGTTGTAGCACAGTTAGAGTGGGTTTTAAAACCTTGAATTTAGCCAGCTACTAGCAATGCTAAAAAGTCATTTAATTGACAGGGCCCCGTCAGCATCAGCAATGCAGGATCCTAAATGGCTCTGAGAGGGACAATCCAAACTCTTGTCATGAAATTGGAAAGAGTAGAAAGTTTTTGGTTGTTCTTCTTTCTTTAGAACACTAGCAATGCACCCAACAGGTACACAATTTGTTTTTGAGTGACAGGGCAACAATTTGAGCCACCAAGAAACTGATCTGGGGGAATGCTAATGCATGCAGTTGTGTGACAGCAAACCTAGACTATGTACCCGATTGCAAAGTGTGAGGAAGGTCTTTCTGCAGAGCTGAGCTAACCTGAAGCATCTGGAAGACTTTATGACCATTCACAGGATGGACCCGGGGCATAAATGCTTCTTTTGCCCTGTACCTCCCCACGAGCAGCTCTGTCTTCGATCTTCTACCCCAATGACTGTCCACCTCTTAGCTCTTCTTTGTCATATGCTGGATGTCAAGTAAATTGTGACCAAACATTTTGCCAAAATAGCTAAAAAGAAATCAATACTTTGTGCTATTTCCATTTTCAAAGAGATATTAAAGACTTTTCAAACTTTTAAATTCCTGAATGTGGTTTAATGGTGGAATATCAGGACTTTTCACTTAATTTTGTTTTTTGTTTTCGTTGGAGGCATGTGGGATAGGAATAGGGTCGAATGTGTCCACCTGGGATTCATACAAACTCCTCTCCCCCTGCTCATAGGCTCAGCCTTGCTTTTAAGTAATTATTCTTCTAAGTGATAATAAAATGTTAAAACTTTTAAAAATCATTTATTATCTTCTCGTTTCATAAAGATAAGTAAAGAAAATATCTTGACTCCTAATGTTCACCTACTTTGTATCCAATTTCTAAGAGAAAATTAAGAGTAAATTCTTCTTCCTCAAAGGACAACTCATCTCAGAAATGAAGAAGGAGGAATTAGCCTAGCTAGGAGTAAAATGAACAATGAGACCCTGTACCCTGATCAACCAGGCCGCCTGCTTTCTGCTACTCTGCTCCAAACTGCTCCTGAGGGGGCTACATCTTAAGACTATAGCAGGCCCTCACTCCATCTGACTTTTTGGAAAATCAAATCATCACTAATCATGCCCAGAAAATTCCTTCTTCTCACTGCTGCCATTGTCCTCAATAAAAATTTAAAATACAGAATTTGGAAGTGGTTGGCAGTGTTTTGCTCCCCGAATAAATTTATTTCTTAAAATATGAAATCCTGCCCTTTGAGTTGCACACCTGACTCCCCGGGTCCTGCCTGGCCCCTCCTGGATGGTGCTCATGCTCCTCCCCACCTCCTTAGCCAACGCATCTGGCAAGTACCAACTGGTGCTGGTTGACTATAGCCATAAAAAAGGCCAATGGAAATCAGAGACCATTGAATTCATGTCTTCAAAAAGGCATTATTTAAAAAGCACAATGTTGATGACAAAGAAAGTGGTTAACAATTATTGAGCATGCACTATTGGCTGGAATTCCTTCTAAGTGTTAGTTCATTTAAACCTAAATACCAACCCTGCAATGTTAGTGTTATTAGCATCACCATTTTAAGAGAGTAGAAACTAGGTTCTAGGTTCAGAAACTTGCCCAAGGTCAAAGTGCCAGGGCTAAAGCTAAAATTCAAACCCAGGCCGTCTGGCTCCAGGGGTTCTCTTTTAACCACTGTACTGTGCGTTAAGCAAAAAACCCAGCCAGGAAGAGTATTGAAAGCAGAACATCATATAAAAAATAAGGCATTATCATGACTATGGTAGTAGGAGAAAGAAAAGTATTTTAGTTACTAAATAAAGGGATCCTGTGAGTTGTGCTTAGACCGGAGTTGTGATTTGCATCGCTGGTCACAGACAGCAATGTTCTGTTAGGATTAATGATAGCAGAATGCTAACTAATCATACCTTACAATGCTTGCATGGCACTTTACAGTTTACAAAGCGCTTTCAAACTCATTATCTCATCTCAGCTGATCTGACTCCAAGTTCAGGGGGGGAGCGGACCCCTAGCTGGAACCTCTTACGTTCAAAAGCAGCGTTCTTTTCATATTTTGACCAGGGGTCTTGGCTTACCATCCCCCCCCCCCAACTCAGGCAGAATTCTTTAGAATAAAACATACGCATTTATGCAAATGACTGTGCCAATTTGAGAAGGGAGAATCTGGTGTTCTCTGGATCACAGGAGCCCAAGCCCTGCTACAGATTCCCCGGGGTGTTTCTTTTTAGGCTAAATGCCCAGCGTGGCAGCACTTGTTTCAAGCGATCTCAATTTAGATGTGTGGACTTAAAAAAAAAAAAAAAAAAAAAGACGGTGAAGAAAGCTTTCTGTATCACTGGCCACTGAAAGCCACTCCCTACCCACTTGGAAAAAAAGAAAAACAAAAACAAAAAACGGTCATAATGCCTGATTTTCTGCTACTTGCTTGAATCCTGTAAATTCAGAGTTTCAAGGCAGACTCAGAGAAAGAGGGGGAAAAAAGATAGTAACACAAAATCTGAACTGGTACTTTTGGCCAGGCAGTGATACATACGGTGTATAAGGCAGATATATAGGATTGTGTTCACAGGTATCTAGTTACTGAAATTTTTAAGTAACCTGTCATAAATGTGCTTTTCTTTTTCCCTTGAAGGACCTTGAGGGCAGTCTGTTGTCAAGCTTCAGTATGTTCTACTTCAGTTTTCAGCAATTACAACTCTCTGAGCAGCTAGTATATTTCTGATACGCTAACCTTCGCGACAACCCTGTGAGATAGGAATTCTCATGTCTACTTTGTAGAGGAGAATACTGAGGCTTCTAGTTCCAGTCATCTGAATTTAGGTAAATAAAGTGAATTTCAGGGGCAGACTCAGGTTATCTGGCTTGATATTCATGAGGGAGATTTGAAGCTTTGATTTTTTCGAGCCATTCATAGATGAGTCACTTTGGGAAGAAGGGGCTGCTCTTTGGGCACAGTTCATTGCTTTGCTCAGAAGCAATACAGTTCAACGTGAAACGAGACATGCCCAGCCCAGCTTCCAGCCTTGCAACTGTGTCCAACCTCATCTAAAACAGGTAAAGCTATCTTGGTAGGAGAGGTTATGGGCTCGAAGCAGGTGAGGGGGAAGAAAAAGCTCTTGGCTCAAAGTTACAGGTTTCAAAGTGAATGAGATAATGATTGAAACGAAGGAAGAACTGGCATTTTCTTCCACCCCTTTTCCGTTGGTAACACACAAGCAACCAGTTCAGACTGGCAGCCTGTCTGTTCTATTGAAAGAAACCAGGGTCTCCTGGGAATGTCAGGGGCAACACCAGAAACCTCCCGGCTCACCCAGTGCCCACACAGTGCGACCACAACCAGAGTCACAGAGGCTCCTGCAAGCTATGTGTGTGTCTGCTCCTGATCCCCAAGGGTCTGTTCAGCAACAACCAGGGACACCAGGAGTCTGCTGAGCAGGGATGTAGAGGAATATGTGTCTGGCACTTAGCTGCATCCACTCTTTCCTCTAAAGATTTCAAAAATGTCTATTGTTCCTTGGAGGGTTTTTTTGCCCTCTGTAATTAATTACTATGTGGTTGAGAAGATCCACAGACCAGCAGAAAAGACTGAGTGCTGAAACATATGAAAACAATTAGAAAAGAAGTACAATCACGTGAAACCTATAATTCAGTTCAAAAAAAAAAAGTTTACTTCTCCAATGGGAAACACCAAGTAAGAGAACTCAAATCTCCATGGCATTTTAATTCAGGGGAAGTGAATCTTAGTTCCCATTTTATCCTCTTAAAAACAGAAATCTTGGCTTTTTTGGCAGAGTCTCATATTTTGGGGGTAATTAAGCTAACAATCATAAACTAAAATAGAAGAAAAAGTAGTTTATATACTTCTTACTTCAGGGGTGACTCTAATAAATATTAAACTCCACACATTTATTAAGAAGCCCTACTTTCTGTCCCTTGATGCTAAGATACCTCCTAATATATGGTTTGACAGGAAGCTTGGGACTTCTGCACTTCTAAACTCATGTGAAAATGGAATACCATGCACTCTTACTCCTTTTTATATACTGTATTAGAAATAACACAAGGAGGTGTTTGAGAATACTTGGGAAAAAACAACAATAAAACAGCCTAAGGAAATAAAGCCTTGTCCTCTGTCTGTGTACCTCCATCCCTTGCCCATGACTTTATATGATTACCCATCTCTACAGACACAGAATTTCCCAGCTAAGAAATGGACCACAGAACATATGTTGGGACTCTTGCTGGGTTCAAAGATGTGGAAGCCAAAATTCATCTGGATGGCAAAGACAGGAGATGGAGGTTAAATGTTTTAAGAGACATCAGCATATTTACATAATTTTATAGTCTTATTTTTCAGATATCAAGAAACCTTTTCATCTTTATGTGTTTCATTCCAGTTAAGCTACTTTCTGCCACATGAAAACCAGGATAAACTTAGCATGACTTTCAACTCTGATGAAGGCTACAGAAAGTAAGTGACAGGGACACAGACAGGCCAGGCTAGACACGGGGTGTATAAACCCTTTAGAGAGAGCTAGCAGCTGAACAATCTGCCAACAAATGAATTCTGGGTGTTCGGAGACACTATGTCACATTGCTGTTGGGGACATTCTCTGGGAATATGCTTAATTTTCCTGAATGCAATTTTAAATGTTAAGCCAGAAGATCTCAGGTGTGATGATCTTAACAGACCCGGGAATTTCTGCTAATAGAGCTAACTTGGACGAAATATGTAAACAACTGAGCCAGATGACAGGAAACGTGGACGGGAGCAAAGTTTACCATATAAATGTAATATTCATCCATCAGAATTACATTTGTAAACTAACCATGATTCTAGGTTTGTGCACAGAATGGGAACTATCATAAAAGATTTCAATATTTCATTACAAAATAAACCTCACAGTTACTGACACAGGACACCCACGGAATTCCCAGACTTGTCCAATCTCTTCTCTTCTCTCCATCACCATGATTCCTGGGTGTGCTGAGTTAACTTAATGAGGATCCCCACTCATATCTTGTTGCTCTTTTGTATACTCTTAAGATGATATAGAGATTCCTTGAAAAATTAAAAATATATCTGCCATATGACCTGGCAATCTCACTTCTGGCTATTTATCCAAAACAACTGAAGTCAGGATCCCTAAAAGATAGTAGCACTCCCATGTTCATTGCTATACTATTCACAATAACCAAGATGTGGAGACAACCTAAATGTCCACTGATGGACGAATCGAAGAAAATGTGACATTTATATATAATGGAATATCACTCAGTCTTTAAAAAGAAGCAAATTCTGCACTATGTGATAATACAGATGAACCTTGAGGACATTGTTACATGAAATAAGCTAGTCACAGAAGGAAAAATACTGCATGATTCCTCTCATATGCCATATCTAAGAGTCAAATACATAGTATCCAAGAATAGAATGGTGGTTGCCAGGGGCTGAGGGAGGGGGAAATGGGGAGTTGCTAATCAATGGGCATAAAGTTTCAGTTAGGCTGGATGAACAAATTCTAGAGATCTAGTGTACAACATCGTACTATAGTTAACAAAACTCCATTGAACAATTCAAGATTTGTTCAGAGGGGAGATCTCATGCTAAGTGTTCTTACCACAATAAAATGAATTTTTTTTAAATGGGAAAAGGTGGCACAGGATATGGAAGAAGAAACCCGAATAGCCAATACACATATTATAATATTCAACCAGATTGGTAATTATAGAAAAATCAATCTTTAAAAATGAGATTCATTTTAACCAAGCGGAGTTGTAACTTTTGAAAATGATAATAAAACAGGGGAAAAAAAGATCATGGTGTCTTCAGTAAATTTTAGCTTAAAGACTTCTCAGACGTGATAAAAACAAAGTTATGTGTGTCAAGGATATTCAATTAAAATTTTTTTGTAAATTCATACTCTTACCTATAATACCTACTCCCACTGGGCCCTAAATTTGAAAACAGAAGGAAAAGTCTGAAAAACGAAACATGCTAAGGGGATACTATTCATTTTTGTATTCTCAGCATCGAGCTTGTTCTCTGATACAAGTAATGCCAAAATGATGTTGAAAAAATATGTGTCTGATAAGGTCTCTGTACCAAAATTTATAGAATACCTGGATTTGGTTTTGTTTTTATGATTCTACATTACTCTCTCTTATCTCAGAAAACCAGAGAGCTGCTTGGAGCACAAGCACAATTTTATGGTAGAGTTTTCTAGAAGCACATATATGTTTAGGATAGATATATTTATCTGTGAGATACCACAGACAGGGAAGAAGTATACCCTGGGGTTTTTTGTTTTTGTTTTTTAATCAATACAAAGCTACTCTAGAATTAAATCCATATAAGTCAATGCTGGAACTTTCAGTTTAAGAACTAGACCATACAGCTCTAACCACATTTGGAATTGTACAGAGAAATGGAAAATGTTCTGTTAAATGTGTGGGAGGCAGATGTAGTACTGTAGTCTGAACATGTGGATCTGGCCACCAGGTCAGCGGTAACCAGCTCTCAGACCAGCAAGTCACTTACTACCACTGACCCTCAGTTTATTCTTCTTGAAAATGGGTATGTCACCTACCTCTCCCAATTAAATGGAACAGCAGATGGCAAAGGAATTTCAATTATCAAACTGTTATGAATTTTAAACTGTCAAATAAATTTTGGTCTCATTATGATTTGTTAAGAACTTCGTGATTATTATATGAGAAAAATTAACCAGCTTCTCAAAACACTACCTAAAACTGTAGAACTACAGTTTTCTGTGGCTTGGACTGCTGAAGGTTTCCATCACACATGTAATATGAAGTCATCTGGGCTGGATGCTGGTGCCCTTGTTACAATTAAGAGAAGGAATTACTCCATTCTTTGTTTTTGAATCACCGTGCCTTAGGAAACGAGTCAAGTAAGTGCAATCTTACCACTCCCTTGGGACAAAGAAAGTAAGTGGGTTTTTGTAAGCCAACCACTCTTTCTAAAGAGAGTGCTCCCCATTTCAAAGGAACTATTTTCCAATGATGTGTCAAGTAAGGTAAGAGCCATTTAGGAGTAGCGTGAAAATTAACAGGCTGCAAACAATTGAAAAATAAAATGTTATTGTTAGGTAAATCCCGCAACCCACAAATGACTGACCACTAATCCTTGACTAGGACAAGGTCTAATCAAGCAGCAAGAAGCTCACTCTTCGCCTCCATTTAGAACAACCAAGTTCTTGGCGGAGACATGCCCCTGCAAAGACTCGCAGCTCTATTTGCTCGAGGAGGAGGGGGGGGGTAATAGAGCTGCAA